TTTGTCGTCGCAAAAACACCTTTTTCTTGTAGTGTTAACGATGTGTAACACAATTATGATTAATAACATCAAAAGGGAAGAATTTTTAATTTCTAAGTATCCTGAATGATCTCCCTGGTATATACCATATGTAAGACTCTTTGATTCCCTACAATTCTACTAACTTAATGATCAAGGTGTGCAAAACTGGCCCAACACATTTCAAGAGCCTAACTTGACCAAAAAGGTTAATCTATTAAGTTTTCAGTTCTTCTGTGTATATAAATCACTTCAAATTCTCATCAACTTTCCATGTGGGATAACACACACATGTAATTTTCTCAGCAATCTCCCCCCATGTGTGTGTTCACTGAGCTCCCTATCGAATTGAAGTTTTAAGTAGCCGGCACATCCAAGCATCACACTCCAAACGAGAGCCAACTTAAGCATGGGAAAGAGAGCCGAAACCATGCACCAAATACTCCACCATCCGCGCACCTGTGGGAACACCAACTCTCCATGGGAGGCAACGTGGGAATGGTAACCGAGTGTGATCGCTTGACCCATACGAATCATTGGCTCTGATACCACTTGTTAGGGAGACACCACATACGAAACTGACCCAACACACTTCAGGAGCCCAACTTGACCCAAAATGTTAACCTATTAGGTCTTGGGTCTTTTTGTATATATAAACCACTTCACATTTTTATCAACTTTTCATGTGAGATAACACACGTACTTTTCTCAACACAAAGAAATAAGGAAAGTAGCACACATGTCACATTTAAGCACATAAACGTAATAAATAAATTTTTTAAAAAAGTATAGAAAGCTCTCTAGCTCAATAAAGTTTTAGGATTCACTGACCTTAAGCACTTTCAGCTAAATATTTTAAACTCCAACCGGTGAAAATATACTTAAATTTAATATTCCATGTTGGTTTCAAGTTCAAACCAATAATTTACCTTAATTACAACATTAATGCTAAGTACTATTTTTAAGTAACAAGGATAGCGAGACAAGTAGACAGCTTTTGCTGTGGGGGCAACTACCTCCCACCAATAAAATCTAATACGTGTGGAGAAAGAATAGAAGATCATTAATTATAATGCAAGGTGCGTTGGTTTGAATTGTTAAAACATCAAAACATGACTTCTTCATTTTGAAGCCGTGTTGATTTATTATATATTGCTAGGGCAAATTAAGCGGACGCATGGACAACACTTCCATTAGTTAGTGATTGTGAAAGTACACAATGTGTAATTTAATCAAGTCTATTTTCAGATCATACATTTTATAGTATAATGAAGTCTTCTCACTATGAAATATATACAATTGGAAAAGAAGTAACATAAAAGGAATGCGAATGTGGTTGTTTATCTTTTAATTCTTCTAAGTTGTGACCAATTGGCGGGGATCTAAGGATCAGGAAAAAATGACTTCCACATTGAGGACATGAAAATACATATTATGGTCCCGTCTCAACTTTATTTGGAAGAGAATTTGGAACTATATATATATATATATATATATATATATGTGTGTGTGTGCTAAATTAGATCGGTTAATTTGTCATGTTTTGAACGCGTGCATTATATAACTATAGCAAAATTTTAATTGGATAATGGTGACTAAGAAAAGTACTACTCTCAATTTCTTCTGTTTAAATTCATGATATATATGTATATTTTGTACGAAGAATATTAAACCAATTCGAGTGGAGTGTGACTAGAGAGAGAGAAAGAGAGAAGGGGGGGAGAGAGAGAGAGGAAATGTGGAAATCTATATCATTTTGATGGCATGGATGAAGCTAAAGACTGGGGCCCAATTCACCTCTCTAAGTGTTGCTTGAGGCAAAGTTGCGGGAATGAGTACTTTTATTTTTCATTGTTTTTTCTCACCAACCACTAAAGAGTTTTGTGTTTGTTTGTACTCTTATGTCAATGAAAAACTCTAAAGAAGGAAGCTTTTTTCAAGTGCACAAGTTTTCAAAAAAATTTGATTATTCTTGCACACTCTTCTTTTTTCTTTCTCCCCCAAATCAAACCCAAATCGTCAAAGAATTCATGCCACAGAAGAAAACAAAAACAATAAAAGAATTAATAATCCCCTATCCAATCAAATTAGCACCCTATCGTATACATCCCCTATACTTATATTCCTCTCTCATGTTTCCATTAAGATCTATCTTCATTTCCCATGCCTGAACCATATAGGGTCAATGATATATGAGCACACCCACTAACTAGAAATTCTAACAACCGAACCTTCCATTTTGGGATGGCCATGGGTTTTATAATTGGAAGCCTAAAACACCGACCTTGTGGTTTTAGTAGTACTTTATATATATATAGATATATTTAGCCCCAACAATTTGCCCCCAAAAAAGGTACCCTTTGGGAGTTGCCATCTGCATCTACTTGACCATTTTAAGGCGATTTCTTGAGAGTGGTACTAGCTATAATTGTGGGGAAACCCCAGAAAATTAATGCATTAGGTTCTTGCTTAATTGGCATGCATTAATATTCTCCTTTTTGTGCCTACACGTAAGCCCCTGTGTAACCCACAAGACTCTCCATAATTGCCCAACTGAAAGAACCCACATATCTTGTTTGAATTGAAGCTATTGGTTTATCAATTTTCTAAGCAAACTCTCTCTCTCCTCTCTCTCTCTCTCTCTCAGCTACTTCTTTTTGGATGGCAACCAACCTATTAGACCTTAGATGAGTTATTTGCTCTCTTAATTATAGGAGACAATGAAAGACTATGGTGTTTGACTTGAACACTGGGATTTTCTGTCAGATCCTCCAATCAAAAACTGTTTGGGTTTCAATTTGTGGGGGAGATTGGTCTGCATGTGATTGGTCCCACATTCAATCACCTCTCTTAGTCAAGATTTGTGAGGTGAAAAGAAGCCACCAACAAACTTATTCTACATCAAATGAGGGGTTAGTTGGAATAATTCTTGAAGATTTGAATACTTCTCTCTAGATGATATTTCACCTTCCAACACATAAATCTAGAATATTCCCCCTATAACAATTCTTGCCGTTCTAAAGCAAAACAATGGAAATTTTTTCAAGAATGCTTTAAGAAAGAATGAACCATTTTTATGTGAAAGTTAGCTGATCAACCAAATGTTATATAACTATCATAAGGGTGCCTACTATATATGTTGATCAATTTGGCTAAATGCAATGTTGGAAATATAGCCATAAGTATAATACATATATATATGTAATATTATTGTTGACTTAGATCATTAATGTTAATTCCCTAGTTATAAGTGTCGGTTAATTTGAACCGTATACAAAATTGTCCTTTTCCTAAGGTTGAACGACATCTACGTACGTTGCCCCAAACAACTGCAACTGACAACGCATTGTGCTCTCGTATTTGAGACTAAAAAGAAGAGTGCAAAGAAATAAATTACAAAAGGGGAGAAATACAACTAAATTGAAAAATATTGCAAGTAAATCCATAGAAAATATATTCCGTTGAGAAGTATGAATTTGTCGTATTTGGTTTCAAGTCTTTTTTTTTTTTTTTTTTTTTCCCGCTGAAAACAAGTCAAGTTAATTAATTAGTACTAGTACTATGCGTCTTGCACCAGGTGAAACTGCAAAAAGTAATAATTTACGTCCGTACAGATCAAGAAATTACTTTCAAAATCTCCTCTCGGCCTTCACTTAGTGCTATATCTTACTTATAATTCTCATATGAACCCTATTATATATACACTATATATATCGCGTGCATATGTACATATATTATACACAAAACCTTTTTTGTTTTTTGATAATTGCATAAGTGTTGAGATTAATCTTTGTGTAATCCATGCCTGCAACTGCAATATGTAATTAGACAACATGATCGCTTTTAGCTGACCAATTAAATGAGATTTAATATTTATTTACGAATTATTATTTTAATTAAACGTAATGGTAGTACTTTTACAACCCTTCAAGAGCTCCCTTCCCAAGCCATTAATTAGTTAATAAATTTGGATCTGCATAACCCCACTGTATCCCAAATATGTGCATAAAATATGTCAATCAGTTGAGGTAAAGTAACCCTGTTTAGATCAAACATGATTCAATTTTAATGCAAAGGTTTATTTCCTTTTCAAGGACACATATAAGTGGTTAATGTCTACATTATGTTACGTAATTAAACATATATAGCTAGACACAATGCACAAATATAATGAATGTTGCATATATATATATATATATAAACCCTAAGCTTTTGTTTTCTTTCAAGTCCTTTAATTATCTATGGAAAGGTTAAGCACTATGGCTGGCAGATTCTTTTGATTTTAAAGAAAACGTCAAAAGAAAATGAGGAAGTATTAATGTATTCTTAGGTGATAGTGTTTTGTCGGGCTCGATATGTACATATAATATCCTGAATCCTCAAATCATCATTTGGTTTGTGAAAAGAAGAGCGACAATACACCAATGAAAATTATTATCAAAATTTTCTTCTTTTTTTTTTATATTTTTTTTTCGTCATTTTCACATTTTTAACCTAATATTTTCTGAAGGTAAAACTTTGATGCCAATATTCTTCACTTTCTCACCCGTTTAATTCGTAGATTTGAATTGAAAATTTGAATATAAATTCAAAATTTTAAAGAAAACACTGTAGTAAAAAGATTTGAACTGTGTTAATTTGAAGCATGAGAAAAGTAAATTTAAAAGATTGAGTAGCACTATATAATATATATAAATATACACACACACACAGAGGAGGCCCTCACTAAAATTCTAGGGTCAAGTTTCAAATTTGGTATAGGCGCATACATTTTTATGACTCCATTCAAGTTATTGGATAAAAAATTTCCACGACCAAAAGTTTATTTATATTCTTAAATAATTTGCCAAACTTTTCCTGCATCTTTACTGCTGTATTTATGGACATTTGCACCACTATAGTTTAACCTGTAGAGTGAAAACAATAGTGAAAAACAATGTTGATATGATGTGCAATTAATATTTTGCGCCAAGTGAAATTACTTCCTTAAAAAAATTAATAAATTAATTTGGAAAATGTACAACGATCCGACTAGCAAAATAAACATCAGCAATTCCCAGCCGAATTTAACTGAGCCAAAGTTCATCAACCAGCCAGCCTAATAAACCAGTGTTAAAACTAACCATTTCTGAAAGCCAAGCCAACCAAGCCAAGCCGCGAAGCTCAGCCGATAATCGAGCCGATCGAGTTCTGAACGTCAGCCACATGTAAGTGCAACTCTCTCCTGTTTTCCTCTTTGTTTTTGCTGGGAAGTGGGAAACCTCAAAATAAGCCACATATTATAACTTACAATTGTTTGTAATTGTGCCCAAGCCAACCCATGTTCGCAACTATGCAATTTTGGACAACCAAATTTTCTCAAGCCGAGCCGAGCTAATTTCAAGGTGCAGCAGGCGCGAGGCTAAGATGCAAGTCCAAGCCCAATGAGTCATCGAAACTGGGCCCACCGTTCCCCTTCGAGAACCTACTCAACGACGGTCCATCAACCACCCTAGAATGGGCCCGGCCTTGTTGCACCTGAGAGCCCATCGTCAATGCCGAATGATGATTATGATTATAATCTCCTACGTTGCCACTATACGAAAACCCCCCTGCACCCGCACCACCGGACCTCCCTCCTCCGCCGCCGCTTACTCCCGCTGACGCAGGCGGAAACACGCAGCCGTGCGAAACGTGGAAAGGCGGCGCCGCCCTCGGGACGTAGACCCAAGAGGGAGACGCCGGAGCTGCCGCCGGAACCACCACGGATCCGGCCGGAGCGAGGAGGTGCGGCGGCGGCGCGAAAGCAGAGATTATAGGGTTCCTCGCGTACGAAACGGCGGCGTTTCGGCTGGCCTGGAGCTGGGCCCGCTTCAGCTGCTGTCTCTCCTTCTTGTGGGCGTTTTGGTGGCCTCCTAGGGCTTGGGAGTTGGCGAATTCTCGACAGCAGTATTGACACTCGTACTTCCGGTCTCCGGCGCCGGCAAAGCCGCCGGATTCCGGCGACCCAGACGGCGTCGTTTTGGCGGAGTCCACGACGGTGGGCTGGTCGTCGTCTTCTTGGACGCTGAAGCCGAAGAGTTTTAAGCGTGTGGTACTAGGATTATTTGTGCTTGTGTTATTGTTATTGTAAGCTTTGGTCGTTTGGTAATTATCTAGCTCTTCCATGTTAGAGAAAGAGAGAGAAGAGGGTAGAGAGAGAGAGAGAGAGAATTGGAGAGAAAAGTGAGAAGAGAGAAATAAATAGTGGGTGTTGTTTGTATGGGTTGTGTTGTTAATGCAAGGAAGTTGTTGCATGTGTTGGGGGGTATTTATACAGGTTTAGTTAATAAAAGGTCTTTCTTTACTCTTTTGTCTTTGCATAGGTATGTAATATGAATATATATAGTTAGAGAGAGAAAGAGAGGAGAGAGAAAGAGAGATGGTTGCGGACATCCCAAGGAGGAAGAAAGTGAGTGTTGTAAAAATATGGGAACAAGACCCGAGAACACACTCCGGTGGGGCCCAGGGGATTTTGCACTTGTCTCGGCGACTTAATTCCCACTCTCTAATATTCATACATAATATGATTTTGAGGATATTCAAGTTTCTTTCTTCAACACATGTTGTGAAATTACGAACGTGTCCTTTTCGTTCTAAAGAAGAAAAATAATGAGGAAAGAAAATTGTGTTTGTTCATATGATTACGGTTTTTGGTATTATATATTGGAATTTTTTTATGCCTTTTGCCTCAAATGTTGTTTAAGATTAAGAAAGTGGGGAAAGAGAGAATGTGATGCATGTGATGGGAGCATGGTACGGGTGTTCCTTCAAGTATAATTAAATTTGCATGATTGAGTGAGTTCGTCCAATGTTCGAATCGGTGCTCTTTTTATTAATTTGTGTGCATGGTTCTTATATATACATACATATATATATATATATATAGTTTAGTGCCATGTTGAGCTAGATTTTTATATAGTTTAAGTTCAATGAACAGGATGGTTCTCCGACCAGTCATATTGTGAAGTCTAACAAAGTAGTAGCTTCCTTTGGCATTTTATAGTTCGTCGTAATTTCCTTCATCCATGTTCCATCAATAAATTATTGTCATGTACTATCATACAAGATTCATTTCATTTTGAAAAACTCCATGTTGAAGACTAATGTATGGCTCCCATCAAGCTAATCCCACGGTCACTTTTATCACCAAAACTTCAGTACTTTATAAGGTAAAAGTGAAAGAAGAAAACTCAACAGCTAGTGCACTGTGGTCTTAATTTAAATTTAGAACTGTGCTAGGACATGAAAAAAAAAATCCCTTATCCGTTGTAAGATAACACTTATATAAACCGTAAAATCTTAATCAAATTTTGATAAATTATTATATATTGTTTAATATAATATGATTATGATGTGATCTAACTGTCCGTAATAGGGTTTTTTTTTTTTTTTTCCTTACCCTACCTTAAGAATTGACTAAGTACAATGGTGGCATTGTAGTTAATCAATCCTTTATCTCTTGGAAGTTGACCAGAAATAAAAGTGGGGAAAGAAAAAAAGTTAAAGAATTTGACAGTTGGTAGCTAGCTTAATTAGTGGATTTAACTTATTTCCTATTTGTCACGAAGATATGATCTTTTTCTTTCCAGATGGAATTGCACCCCATGTAGGAGATATATGGAGGACACAATTAGGTTAGAAAAAAATCTGGGACTATATAATGGGCCACTTGTAACTTGCTTCGTTTGTAAACTTTGAGTGCGAGAGATCATGATCAAGACCAACAAGAATAAGCTATTAAAAAGTTGTAAATTTGATCAACCAAAAAGTTGTTTGTCCGAGAGAATCAGCTATTTATGGCGCCCCTAGTACTTCCAAACTCACTTGATGAAGAGACATCCTAACCACTGCATGCATGGCAAACAAGTACCATTCTGCCAACAATATTACATACATACATACATACATACATATATATATATATATATATGTAAGCGATAGTCTGGAAATATTATTACTTATTTTCAATATATTACATGGTATTATAAAACTAGAGACTCATATATGCGTTATCACGTGACTATTTAAGATAGAATATTTGAAAAACCAATAATGATGAATATGGTAACATTGTTTAACATTTTTATACGTGCACTACTATGACATGGTTTCATGGATACGACAAAGATTCCATTAAATTATAGACCTTTCAGAGCTTGGTACTGGAATTTAATAGTATGAAAGTCAGTGATAGAACGCAACCCAAGGAAGCCAATGGTAAATCCCCATGTCTGGCTATTTCTCAACTTTACTACTTAATCTCCTCCTAGCTCGAAAAAAATATGTTTAATTAAAAAAAAATTACTTATCCCTTTTTATCTCTCTAAAACTTAATTTTGTTGTGATAATTACATAAACACAACCTTTTCTTTCAATTTTTCTCAATTTATCACTCTATTCTTAAAAACTAGAAAAATATCTTTTAGATTTGAGAAATGTGTTCTAATTTCATTCGTCAAGTAATTTTTTTAGGGGAAAAAGAAAAACAAAAAGATAAAATTACCCTTAAATAATATTTGAAAGACATTTTAGTCATTTAAAAAAAACATTAAAACCATAAAACCAAAACATGTTTCTTTTTTTTTCTTTATTAAAAAAAGCACATTTGCAACCCACAATACTTTTGAAGACAAACAAAATTTCTGAATTTTATTTAAGAAACTATTTAAGGGTATTTTATTTTTTAAATTTTTTTATAATCCAATAAGTAGTAAATATGAAACTGAAACATATTTTTAAAACTCAAAAGATATTTTTATAGTTTCTAAGAACATAGAAATAATTTTTTTCTAAAAAAAACAGTACTATCCCAAATAATTGTTTCCGTTACTACCCTCTCTCTCTCTCTCTCTCTCTTCAGTTCACTGTAGTCTCTCTCTCTCTCTCTTCAGTTCACTGTAGTCTCTCTCTCTCTCTCTTCAGTTCGCTGTAGTCTTGGCCTAATGTGAGGAGCCGACACCACCCACTAGTCTACTACTCCACAATCTCTCTCCTCTCTCTAAAAAGTCAAAACTCTCATGCATGCAATGCAACACTTTGATAGATTCCTGGATCCTAAACAAAGAGATCATACAAATCAGATCTAACACCGTCAGTCCCACTAATCACTTCTCCTTGGCCCACGTGTCGCCATCGTATTAATCATATCTAGCTAGTAGATACGCATGTTTCGCAATCCAAGCTTGAATTTGATCCCTTTTTTCCCTCTCAGTCACACATATAACATATATATATATATATATATATATATATAGGACATAGAATCCATTAGTAATAGCAATGATGGCAATATTGTGAATAAAGTCAACATGAGAAGTTGAGGGTTCAATAAGCTTTTTTAAATATAGGACAACACAATCTTGTTGGCTTAGCTTGTCCGAAAGGGCATCCCTTCTATGAATTAATCAATGACTTGAATGTTCAGGTGTGTTTACAACTTACAACAGTTTCGGGTGTGGGGCCTACCATTACGTGTTGATGATGAATAATTGGTTAGGATGTTTGCGTGATTGACGTTGAAATCTACATGTAATCAAAACGTAATATTATAATATCTAATTATATATATATATATATATATAATATATTATTTATTTTTCTTTTACTTTGGGTGAGAGAGAGATCTCTCCGAATCTTACTAACTACAAGAGAGAAAAGAGAGCTTTGGCTTCGTAATCTCCCACTTAAAAAGAGCATGATATTATGTTAGACAATTTCAAAAGCTCATACCAAAGTCTTCATCACAACTCCAAATACTGACCCACCTTGTCCCCTCTTTCTAATGTGTGTTCTATTCAAGCCCCTCATTTAAGTCAAATTTTCCCATGTAAAGAAATCTATTCTCATTTGATTTTTCCCTCATTATCTGGATCTATCACCTTTGGAGTAGTGTACTATGGTCCTGTAAGCTCATATTATTTTTCGACCGTTAGATTCTACATATTAATCATTATCATGAATATTACCGCATTATTAAAAAACAAAAACAAAAAAAAAACAGGTGGCCTTTCTTTTATCCTTTGCAGATTATTAAGCTTAGATAACATTTAAATATTGGGCAATTTTAGAAGTCAATTTTGTTCATCATGGCGGCCAGAGGCTGATAACTTGATTATTTTTTATTATTAATTTTTTTTTTTGTTATTTAGGGGTAATCAATATTCTACTAATATCAATTGTGTAGAAGCAGGTAGAAGATAAACGTCTATGATGATCCTTGCTAGTATAGTATATACTAATGGGGGTCCTATATATAT